TCAAATCTTCTTTGATATTTTCATAACATCACAATTTTCTTTGAACAGTCTTTCCTGTTAGGTGTTTTATGAATTGCAAAATTATTGTAACTGGTAGAAGAAATTCTGGCTTGATTTTTACTAATACTAACATTAATCCTTTCATTAGGTATTTTATTATGATATTTTATATAACACATTATATAGCCATATTACATATACTTATAACTAATAATAATAATAAACCAGTAAACTCCTGAACTGATGCTCTGAAAGTGCTGCACTCAATATTCTAGCAAATTTGGAAAACTCAGCAGTGGCCACAGGACTAGAAGAGGTCAGTTTTCATTCCAATCCCTAAGAAAGGCAATCCCAAAGAATGCTCAAACTATTGCACAATTGCAAAGTGCAATTACTATTGCACGCTAGCAAAGTAATGCTCAAAATTCTCCAAGCCAGGCTCCAACAATATGTGAACTGTGAACTTCCAGATGTTCAAGCTGGATATAGAAAAGGCAGTGGAACCAGAGATCAAATTGCCAACATCTACTGGATCATCAGTAAAGCAAGAGAGTTCCAGAAAAACATCTACTTCTGCTTTATTGACTATGCCAAAGCCTTTGAGTGTGTGGATTACAATAAACTGTGGAAAATTCTGAAAGAGATGGGAATACCAGACCACCAGACCTGCTTCCTGAGAAATCTGTATGCACATCAGGAAGCAACAGTTAGAATTGGACATGGAACAACAGACTGGTTCCAAATAGGAAAAGGAGTACGTCAAGTATATTGTCACCCTGTTTAGTTAACGTATATACAGAGTACGTTATTAGAAATCCTGGGCTGGATGAAGCACAAGCTGGAATCAAGATTGCCAGGAGAAATATTAATAACCTCAGATATGCAGGTGACACCACCCTTATGGCAGAAAGTGAANGCCCCCCACCCCTTGGACACTGCCGGCAGGGCATGACAAGTCAGGGGAAAGCAGGCCGGATGTTCATCAAAGACACACAGAAAGGAAAAGAAAGATTTTTAATTTGCACCCTAGCCATGTATCTTCCTACAAACAGCAGCTCCCCACGAGGGGCCCTGCCCAGCCTAACCCAGAAGTCAGCAGTGCTGGGGCCCAACGGGCTTAGAGGGTGAAAGCCAAGGGCTGCATGCTGCGGGCTGGGTGCAGTTCTGCAAGAGAAGACCAAAGCTTGGGTTTGGCTTTGACTCTGATGACAGGACTTTCATTGGAAGGACTGATGCTGAAGCTGAAACTCCAATACTTTGGCCACCTGATGCAAAGAACTGACTCATTGGAAAAGACCCTGATGCTGGGAAAGATTGAGGGCAGGAGGAGAAGGGGATGACAGAAGATGAGATGGTTGGATGGCATCACCAACTCAATGGACATGGGTTTCGGTGGACTCCGGGAGTTGGTGATGGACAGGCAGGCCTGGCATGCTGCAGTCCATGGGGTCACAAAGAGACAGACACAACTGAGAGACTGAACTGAACTGAATATTAATATAATTTATTATATAGTCATGTTACATATACTTATAACTAATAATAATAAATCAGTAAACTCCTGCACTTCACTGCTATTACCTACTAATCTCTAGAAACATTGCCCTTCTCAATGGCTCTAGCACTAGTCTCATAACTTGACTAGTGCAGGAACATTCAGAGACATAAAGATTACTTTACCAATACCTTTCTGGCCTTATTGCATCTCTGCCCAATATGGCCCCAAGAATGGACATTTCCACAGTTCTTTTATGACTTTTTCTTTCCTTTAACTCTTCTCCTTTAGTCATGTTCACTTTCCCAAACCAGAACCTCACATACATTACATTATTGTACATCACTTGTTTTTCTTCCTGGGGTGCTAAACATCCCACAAAACCTACATACAGATTTCTACTATCATCCAAGGCTTAGCTGGGGTTTACTGAGGTTCAGTAAACTTTCACTCTGTGTTTGATTAACTACATTCATCACTTATAATGTACATCTTTTATTTCTGTCTGCCCAAATATCCATTTCTGTGTTCTGATAACAGCACACGATGTTCCTTTGAGGAACTACGCGTTTCCCACTTTCAGTCTATGTGGTCTGAGTAAGGAAGTTGATTCCCCCCAACAACCACATCCCAACACACACACACACAGTTTTATGGGTGAACAAATAGTAGTCAATTGGCCAATCTGCTTGTTATCTTCTTTTAGCCACAGTAATTAATGGGGATGGGCATGCAATCCAGGTCTATATGTGCTAAGTCACTTCAGTTGCGTCTGACTCTTTTTGACCCTATGGAACTGTAGCCCGCCAGTCTCCTCTGTCTATGGGATTCTCCAGGCAAGAATACTGGAGTTGGTTGCCATGCCCTCCTCCAATCCAGGTCTGTATGGTAAGACTCAGTTCCAGAATCTTGCTGCAACTATTGGGAAAGAAGTGTTCCTTTTCCATCGTGTTTGCTAACTTTGTAACTGCTAACAGTTACAGTTGAATTTAATCCTAGCATCCCTGGTGGCCAATCTTATTATGATATAGACTGTTCTTTCCTAAAAATAAAGCCAACACAGAACCAAAAATAGAGGCCAAAGATGGAGACATTCTGCCCATAGAATCATTTGATCAGTTAGATCCAAACGTGTGTGCTCAGTTGCTCATTCGTGTCTGACTCTTTGTGACCCCCATACGCAGTACCCCGCAGGCTCCTCTGTCCATGGGATTCTCCAGGCAAGAATACTGGAATGGATTGCTATTTCCTCCTCCAGGGGATATTCTCCAACCAGGGATTGAATTTGAATCTCCTGCGTCTCCTGCATGCAAATTCTTTACCACTGAGCCCTGTGGGAATCTCAGAGGTACATAGAACTATAATAGACTTATGAAATACTGAATATTTCCCCGGGGCCAACTAGAGTTGGATTTCTGTCATTTCACTGAAATGAGTCCTAACTAATTATTACTCTACAGAAACTATTTTCTTAAATGTTGTCAATAATAACAGCTGGTATTTATTGAGTATTAACTATGTGCCAGATATTTTAAGCACTTTAATGGGTAAAAGCAGAAAAATCTCCTACTTCTACAATCTTATTACCTTCCATTTACAGATGAAGAAACTAAGACACAGAAAGAAAGAAATTTTTCCTAAGGTTTTATAATTATAAGAAGCAGAGTTGGGAATCAAGTCAGGGCACTATGACTCCCAAGCCCCACATCTGAGCTATTATGTTGCCTCACGGGTCAGCTAACATAGTCAAACACCTTAGACTCTTTGCTACATTTGGCACTATCTGTTTTCTTCACACACTCAGGGAAAGTAAAGGCTTTTAGACTAGATTGGGTCTACCTGGATAATCCAGGATAGCCTCCATATTTATGGTCATAACTCTTTATCAGCAAAGCCTCTTTTACTATGAAATGCAAGGCTCCAGGGATAGGATGTGGATTTTTTCTGGTGGCCGTTCCGACCAAGTTTTATTGGGTGTAACCTTCATCTGTCTCCTCTAACAGACCCCTTACCTCACCTCTTTGTAGTGGTGGGGCAAGTTTTCCAATTGTTTCCTGAGAAAGAATGCATGAAAAGAATGTCTAAAACTTTGCATACTGAAAATGTCTTTTTTTATATAACCTTAACTTCTGGATTGGAAAGAACTTTCAGAATTTCTCTACTTATGCTTCATCAAAAATTCCAATGCCATTCCGATTTCTGAATCTCTGTAAATGATCTCTTTTTTCCTCCCTGGAGCCTATTAAAATCTTTTCCTAGAACCATGTCCTTTGAAATTTCATAATAGTACACTTTGACATAGGTAATTTTTATCCATTAATCTGAGAACTTTTGTCCTATTGCCTCTGAGTGCTAAAAACTATTGTCCTGGTTTTCTTCAAAAATTCTTCTTCTGTTTACTTTATTTCTATAAGATATCTCACCTTTCTTGCTTAATTGCTCTGCTTAGAACCTGTAGTACAATGTCCAATAAAAGTAGCAAGAGTGGACATATTTTTTCCTATCCTTGATCTTATGTGAAATTATTCATTCTTTTACCAGTGATTATGATGTTAGCTTCCTTTTTTTTTTCTTTAATTTTTAAAGTCAGATTGTGGATGTCCTTTATCAGATTGAGGCTGTTCTCTTCCTACCTAGTTGAGTGTTTTTAGTCATGAAAAAGAGCTAGGTTTTCTCAAGTGCTTTTTCTTCAACTATTGAGATGATCCTGTGGTTTTTCTCCCCCCCCCTTTTTTTTAAAGAGAGTGTATTACATCCATAATTCATTTCATGTTAACCCAACCTTGTACTTACTAGCCAAATCCCTCTTGCTCATGTTGTAAAACGGTTTTTCTACGTTACTGGATTTGGTTTGCTAGGGGGTTTTTTTTGTTGTGGATTTCTGTATTAATATTCAAAAGGTCTGTAGTTTACTTTTCCTATCATGTTTTTGTGTGGTTTTGTTGATGATTTCATCAGATTTTCACTTGGGAAATCACTGACCTATATTGCCTAAGTCAGTGCCTACTTACGAAGAAGTAGGGGGCTTCCATCCCTGGGTCAGGAAGATCCCCTGGAGAAGAAAATGGCAACCCACCCACTCCAGCGTTCTTGCCTGAAAAATTCCGCGGATAGAGGAGCCTGGCAGGCTACAGTCCAAGGGGTCTCAAAGACATGAATGGGACTGAGCATGCATGCAATTCTTAGAATAAGACTCTAAAGAAACCACTTGGGCAAATGGCGATTTCTGTATCTAGCAGAGAAAGCTGTACAGTCTTTTGAGGTCCTCCCACTCAGCTTCCTTCCCCTTCCTGAAGCACCTAATAAAACTTGCTTTTTTATATTCCAAGCCTTACAGTCTTTTGATCGTCTATTTTCATTGCTCTGAATGCAGAGTTCATAAACCTGCTGGCAAGTCCACCTTTACTCCAAGCGAGCCCTAAGCGCTTTGGGTTTACGGCCGGTCATCAGCTTGCCTAACCAGCTCTAATTCATCAAGAAAGGAATCAAAAGCCCTTTGGTAGTTAATACCATGTGTACTTGGACGGAACCTTCCGCATAAGGTAAGCAACCAGGACAGTGACATCAGAAGGGAAAAGTAAACTCAGAGAGTGGTCGTGCCTTAGGCAGAGTCTAGGTGTGGAGAAGCGTCTGGGGATGGGAGTGGATCTCAGCAGGTACTGGGCCCGGCAGGTGGGCTCGGAGCTCAGAACTGAGGGTGGGACTGGGTGAGGCCGCGACAGAAGCAGGCAGGGCAACTTCTGATGCTCTGGTAAGGGGATGACCGGAAAGCACAACTTTCCCACGGCGCCGCGGGACGGGCGCCGCCGGCGCTGCTCGCCAGGCTGCGCGGGATCAGGACGGGGCGCCGCCCACGCGTCGCTCGGGCCGGAACCCGCGGAGGAGGTGGGTACGCGGAGCCGGAGGCGGCGAGGAGCGCTCGGGCGCCGAGACCCAGGCCGCGGGCTCCGGGCCGCCGGCGCAGCTCGAGCGCTTTCCGCGGGGTTTGGCTCCTGTCGCTTCCCGTCTCGCCGAACCGGCATCGCCGCCTCGGGAGACGCCGCCGCCGCCGAGTCCTCAGAGCCGGGCTGCAGGCGGCAGGGCGCCGCGGGACGCGGACGCAGGTGAGGGCCGGCGGTAGGAAGCCCGGCGGGGCGCGGCCGCCCGAGGGGCCGCGTCGGCCCGACCGGGCCTGGCCCTGCCCTGCCCTGCCCTGCCCGCCCGCGGCGGCTCGGGCCCCGGTCTCGCGCCGGGAGGACGCGCCGCGGGCTGGGCTGCGCTGGCCCGGCCGCCTCCCGCCCCGGCCTCAGGTGATGCGGCGGCGGTTTAACTTTCGCACCTGAGGCTCGCGGGGCAGCGGCGGCGGCGGTGGCCTCGGGGGGCGAGCCGGCGGGAGGGCGGGATCATACGGGGTCTGGAAGCGCGAGCCGGGCGGCGCCGGGGGCTTGCGGGGAGGGCCGCGGGGCTGGCGCGGGCCGCCGTCCAGGTGGGAGTTGGGGAGCCGCGTCCGGTTTCGTCTCAGAGCTCGTGGGGACAGCACACACCCCCCTTCCGCGGCCCGTTCCCTTCGCCCAGATCCACTTTCTTTTGTCTGGTCCATTTCGGTCTCGGTTTTTTTTTTTTTTTGTCTTTCCTCTGTCAAACTATTAATCTCCTATGTGAATCCACTGGGAGCTCAGTTGTACCTAGTGATTAACATAGCAGAGACCCTAAATGTTTATTTAATGGATGAGTGGAATGGTAGTATGCCTGAGCAGTAAGTTTTCTTTTCTCCCACAAAAGAATTAAACATTTAGAAGCATAATTATCTTAATAATTTCAATGAAAATTAACTTGTAATCAGGTGCATATTATGTTGTCCTTTCTCTCCAGTACCGTCAACAATGCACCTCTTTCCCTGTTTTATTTAAATGATTTTGCCAATAGATCTTTTATTGCCCTCTTTTTCTTCCTGTTACATTTTTCAAAGTGAAGATATTTTTTTCTTTTAAAATTCAAAGAAAGGAGTCTTAAAAACAAAAACAACAAGCTTTTTCCTTTTTGAAATAGACTTAACTAGGCTTTTATGGGTATATCTGAGGATAGACACCTGCTTCTTTAATTAGTAATTCCTGTATGTCAAGCAAGAGTTCTTCTAGGCAAGTATCCAACGAATTAATAATAATATATCCCTGTAATATTTTATGAGACATCTACCTCATAAAGTGCCTTTTTATCAAACAGAACAAAGCTAAAAAAAATTCAGTTAAATTTTGCTAACTACATAGCACATATTTTAGGGCACAGTTCGCCTAGACTTAATTAGTGACTCATGGAATAAACACTAACAATTCTCTTTCCCTTGCACTATCTTCGCTCAGCAACCGGAAAGAAAAAGAACTGTAATCTATCCTTTCTCTCAGAAGGGATATTTAGAGAATTAATGAAGTAATGTCTGGAGAATATTTTAATCTCCTTGAAAGAAAGCTGCTTTGTGACTTAAAGTGTGACTACAGGGTCATGAAACACTGCCACTCCCCCCAACATGCTGTCTTTCATGTTTGTAGAATGGTTATTCCAGGTAGTTCCTTTAGGAGGCTAGATGTTTATTTAAAAAGTGCTGCTGCAATTTAGTTATTTTAAATATTTGAAAAATTTAGTCAGTTTTACAAGCAACATAAAAATATGATTTTATAATCTCTTTTATGAGTGCTTGTTTTTTTGTTTGTATTTTTATAATCCAAAACTATGTAGCTCAGTTTGAACATCTTTTATTTGCTAAACTTGACAGAATAATTTCTGCATGGTTGCAAAACTCAGCTCTGCCTTCAAGATTTTACTGCTCTTAGAGATATTTAAACAGTTATCATGAAGGCTATGAAGATAGCTGTGAATGGTGTTTTAAAAATAGTTTTAATTAGTGGCAGCATTATTAGAAAATGTTTGCAGCCTTCTCAGAGTGACTACTCTGTAATGGACACTGCTTGCTTGTAGGCTTGTATACATTTGTAATGTGGTGGTGGTGTAGTCACCAAGCCGTGTCCTGGGGAATGGACAAGGATATCTGTTTCATGTTTAACATGAGTTTTTTTCCCTCACTTTGGAAAGTTAATAGCTCATTTTTAAGGACTCATCAAAATTCCCTGCATCAGAACAGCTCCAATAGTAGGCAGTCCCCCATAAAATGGTGACAGAAAAATGCCCACATTAAAAATATCTTCTTTTGGCCCTAGTATATAATAACGTGTACAAAAATGTTCTATTAACCAAATAATGTTATACTAACCAAACTAAGTGTCTGGTACAGTAAACATTAACCACATAATTAACAAGGTGTTTTATTGTTTTCCTTGATTTAAGAAAAATTTGAGGAAATTACTTGATTCATAAGTCTTTTGATTACAAAATCAGCTGAGAAAATTAGAGATATTGCATTTTTTGGTCTTAATAAATTTCTCTGTGGCAAGCAGAAATATTAGAAATTATTCTGTTAATGATGGAACTACCTTTAAGTTCTGTAATCTCTTTCCCTGATTAGTTCACTGATAGTCTGACAGGTGGAAACCTTAGAAATAAGCAGTAGGTCATTAGCAGAGATTTTAACAGCAACTTCAAAACATCGTTAATAAAATTTCTGAGGTGAGAATGAGGCTTATTTTGATTGGGAATATCCTGGCCTATTCAGAAACCTGTTAAAAAAAAAAATCCCCCCCCCCCTGCAAGGGGCCAGAGTTGAAATGCAAACACCAATTTAGGCAGCATGAAATGAATAGTATATATATGTGGGCTCTTCTGTGACCCCATGGACTGTAGCCCACCTAGCTCCGTCCGTGGGATTTCCCACGCAGGAATGCTGAAGTGGGTTGGCATTTCCTTCTCCAGTGGATATTCCCAACCCAGGGATCAAACCCGCATCTCCTGCATTGGCAGGTAGATTCTTTACCACTGAGTCATCTAGGAAGCTAGTCTCCTGAAAGATACATAAATTATAGAGTTAGTATTTTTGTATAGCTTCACTTGTCTGACTTAGAACTAGCTAAGGCTGTAGATCCTAAGTAAAACTTGCTATGCTCTAGTCTGGCATTATACTTTTTGCTCACCCAGCAACCATAACCTTTCCCATTTAGTGATCTGGCTTATATTATTTTCCTTGCTCAAGATGCCCTTTCCTGTCCACTCTACTTGCTAATGCTGTGTAAATTCTCTCTGTGCTTTAGGACCCAGCTGGAATACTTTTTCCAGAAAGCCTTCCCTGACTCCCTTGTTCTTATTTTTTAGTTCACCATGTCTATTTGTCAATTACTCCCTGTTTTTTGTTATTTCTTTTATTTTGGCCTTGAATTTGTTTTTCTTTAATTTTTATTATAGTTTCTGTTGTAGAGCAAAATGAGTCAGTTCTAGATATATCCCCTTTTTTAGATTCTTTCCTCCTCTAGGTCGTTACACAGTATAGAGTACAGTAGGTTCTTATCTATTTTATGTACAGTAGGGTGTATATGTCAATCCCAGCCTCTCAATTTATTCCCCCCCTCAGTTTCCCCCTTGGTAACAAGAAGTTTGTTTTCCACATCTGTGACTCTTTTTCTGTTTTATAAATAAGTTTGTTTGTACCTTTTTTTTTTTAAGATTCCACATATAAGCGATATCACATGACCTTTGTCTTTGACTTACTTCACTCAGTGTGACAATCTCTGAGTCCATCCATGTTGCTGCAAATGGAATTATTTCGTTCTTTGTTGTTGTTTTTTGAGTATATCAAAGTTTTACTCATTGAAACCGAAAAAGGGTTTTTATTCATTTTTATTGGAGTGTAGTTACTCTGCAGTGTTGTGTTAGTCTCTGCTCCGCAGCAAGCTGAATCAGTTAGACACATATCCCCTCTGTTTTTTGGATTTCCCTCCCCTTTAGGTCACCACGGAGCACTGAGTAGAGTTGCCTGTGCTACGCAGCAGGTTCTCATTAGTTTCCTGTTCTATGCATTGTAGTGTATATATGTCAGTCCCAATCTCCCAATTCATCCCACCCCAATTTCCTCCTTTGGTATTCATAATTTGTTCTCTACATCTCTGTCTCTATTTCTGTTTTGCAGATAAGTTCATCTGTACCATTTTTGTAGATTCCGCATATGTGTGTTAACATACTATGTTTGTTTTTCTCTTTCTGACTTCCCTCGTATGACAGTCTCTAGGTCTATCCATGTCTCTATAAATGGCACTATTTTGTTCATTTTTATGTCTGAGTGGTTTTCCATTGTATATATGTACCACAGCTTCTTTATCCATTCATCCTTTGACGGACATCTAGGTTGCTTCCGTGTCCTGGCTGTTGTAAATAGTGCTACAGTGTATATTGGGGTACATGTATTTTTTTAGGTCATCGTTTTCTCCAGATACATGCTCAGGAGTGGGATTGAATTTGTTTTCCACCTAGTTTTTTTTTTGTTTTTCCCCCCTCAAAGGTACAAGTATGTGTTAGTCCCTTAGTCATGTCTGACTCTTTGCAATCCAGTCAACTGTGGCTCACCAGGCTCCTCTGTCCGTGGGATTCTCCAGGCAAGAATACTAAGAATACTGGAGTGAGTTGC